TCGGCAAGAAGAAGAGAACGAGAAACCTCGGTGTCCAGTCGGGCTTCCTGGCCTACATAGCGCAAAGACACTCGGGAGACGCGGTCAGCTTGTCAGCGCCGCCTCGTTCAGCTCTGAAGAAGGACACGAGCGACCTGATTCCCAGCCGCCTGGGTGCAGCGTCGGACCCGCCGTTCGGCAAGGGAATCTTGGTCTCGAGGACTGCCGATGGCCAGGCGGTGGTCTCCAGCGTGCCAACTGCCAACGCCATCTACGGCGACGTGTTCACCTCGGTGTTCAATCGCTCGTACTTTCTGCCGTTCACGTTCGTAGTGCACAGTGCGCAGCAGGACGCCTTCTATTTTGTAAAGGAAGAAACTTGGCGCGCCAGCGAGGATCGCGGCCAGTTGAAACGGTTAGGCGGCCAGGTGAACACGACTTTCCACGAGAGCGAGAACGGAAGTGGCAGCAGCTCGCTGATCGACGTGAAGATACACGGCGCCAGTTACATAGTGAACCTGCGTTACGGCACCACCGCCGAGAAAGAGAAACAAAGACTGCTCCACCACGCCAAGGCGACCGCCATTCGCAAGGCATGGCACAGGGAACGCGAGGCGTTGAAGAGCAACACGCCGACGGCCATCGAGTGGATGGTGGCCGAGCAGGACGAGATTCTCAAGTCCGGATCCGCCTCCAATTACGAGGGGGAGTACATCCACGACGCGCAACTGTACCCAGAACTGGCGGAGGACCCGTACAACATCCGGTTCGTGAAGAAGGCGGTCGACACCTCGAGCAAGAAACGCCGCAGAAGGAGAGGCGCGCCTACCTGCAAGCTCTGGTGGATCGACAAAATGTGCTAATCCGGTCTTCAAGCGAGCCAGCGAATCAAGCTTCGGGTGCCCCCCGACGCGCGCCGTTTCACAATCGTCCAGTCGTCGAGGTAACAGCGATTTCCGAATCCGCGCGTCGACAGCGTGCGTGTTGCGACGTGTTTTCGAGAAAACGAGTACGACGAGAGAAGGGAGGAGATCCAGGTGTGTCTCGGAGAGAGAAAAGGGGGGAAAGAACAGGATCGAGCCTCAAACAGCGAGCCAATTCTCCTCCGTACGTACTGAACACTATCAAAAGAAACAAAACAAACAAAAAGAAAAAAAAAAAAAAAAAAAGAAAAAAAAAAGAAGTTTTATACCAAAGTCTATTTGTGTATTTCGAAGATGCCAAAAACATTTAACGTTATATTGATTATATTGTACCGCGATTTAGGGTGTAGTGTGTAAGCATCTCGGAGATGTAACGTTTGCCTCCGCGCTCGCGGCCGTGCTGCGAACTCGTCGTCGGCCATCTTATTAGAAGAATAGAATGCGGCGTCCTGACCGGAAAGCTCAAGTCCTTGTTAGCAGCTGCGGGGGATACGGCGGGGATAAACGACCTCGTGATCACGCGTCGTTGTCCCTTGTCCCCCTCGTGAGTGAGACGAGAAAGAGTTCCTTGCTTGAAAGAAAAAAAAAAAAAACTGACTGAGGGAGGAATTGGATCGAGGAAACCGTGACGGGACGTGATTATGCGTGTGTTCATCGTTCGCAAATCGAGTAATCGTGATTAGACACACACACACATGTACACACACACGTCGTCATTGAACGTAAGGGAAGAACGACGAAGAAGGAGAAAGAGGGAGAAAGAGGGAGAGGCCATTCCTCGTTGAGGCGAATCGAGTGAGAGAAACTAGTCAATACATAGCTTTACATTGACGTATAAACTTTTTCCAATAGTATAAGAACGCGATCGTCGGATATACCATGCGAAAAAAAAAAAAGAGACAAACTTTGCGTACCCCCCCATCGTTTGCTCGTACGATTTCTTTCGATCGTACTAGAGGTCACGGAAACGAAGATAGAAAAAGATCGATCAAATGAAAAATACAATCCTGGCGGAAATAGCAGATACCGTAACGTACGAACGTTAATCTACGTACGTGGATCGCATGTGAACGTGCAAAGGATAATTCGCATACGTATACATATACTATACTATATCTCAACAATGAATGGCCCTGTAACGAGTAGGATCAAGATGAACGTTCTTCGCTACGAGTACGAATGACGATTGATGTCAGAGTCCAATGTGTCGATGAAACGTGAGAAAATGGCGGAAGAATGTTGGTGTCGTGCACGTGCACGTTTCGAATCGATATATATTCCGAATTTCAAAGTTTCAGCTGTAAGTGGTTGTAAAAGAATGAGAGAGAGAGAGAGGGGGGGAAGAGCGATGTTTAAGGTGTATTATAAAAGTGGTGCTTTCTCGTACGAAGAAAAAAAAAAAAAA